GGGACCTATGTTACTTTGGGCCTGGCTTACTTCACTTAATATAATTTTTTCCAAGTCTTTCCATTTCCTAACAAATGGGGCAATGTCATTCTTTCTGATGAAGGCATAGAATTCCATTGTGTATATATACCACATTTTCTGCCCAATAAATAAGTGGCCTAAAAACTTAAAGAGAAACTTCTTTGAAGAGGAAAGAAGGATGTCCAATAGACACATGAAGAAATGCTCAACCTCCATAGCCATAAAAGAAATGCAAATCAAAACAACATTGAGATACCACCTCACCCCCAGTTAGAATGGCTATAATCAAGAACTCTTAATAACAACAGATGCTGGAGGGGATGTTGACAGAAGGCAACCTTACTGCATTGTTGGTGGGAGTGTAAATTTGTTCAACCACTTTAAAGCAGTTTGGAGGTTACTCAAAAGACTCCACATAGAACTCTCCTATGACCCAGCAATCCCACTTTTGGGCATTTACTCAAATGTTCACAAACAAGACCACACTAAAGCTACCAGCACGGCTATGTTTATTGCAGCATTATTTACCATAACTAAGACCCAGATGCCCCTTGTTTTTCGATATAACATCTGTACATCTCATTGTTGCAATGGGTCCACAATTTGTTTTTTCCCTTCCTCTCCAAAAACTATACCAACAGCAAATACAGTGAAAACAGGGGTTATACCATGGGGGAGGTACATACAAAGCAACAAAGAAATCATCTTATAAATATAGAAAACTTATTTTGAGGGCTTATTTGTTACCTGTTGTAATCTTAACTTGCATAATTATAATTCTTCTTAAATTCATTCACTATCTCTTACTTTAGATACATTTCTCCATGTATAGTGATCTACAACACAATTTCTTTAGTGTATTCATCTATATTAGCAGTAAGCTAAGTAGCAACTAGTAAATCAATATATAATAATTTAAAAGTTAAAAATGTCCATGTCAGATTGAAACCACTAGTTTTGCTCATTCACAAAGCGCTATTTTCTTCTCATTACCGCTGACTAAAGAGAATGGATTATATTGTTTTCGTTTAAATTTAAATTGTCACTAGGTATATTTCAATTACCTTCCATTGTTTAAAAAGTCCAAAAACTTTACGCAGTTATATGTTCTATAATCCCCACAGACTGAGGCATGAAAATTATGATTTTGAGGAATGCTTGGGTTACATAGCCAGTTCCAGGACTCCAAAGTTGCCCAGTAAGATCTCATCTCACAAACAAAATGAAAACAGTGTAAAACCAAACCAAAACAAAATGTTTTGAAAAATTATTTTTCTACCAATCTATTATGACTTCTAAGATCCATATGCTGTGATTTCTATGGGCTATTAAATCTATACAGAGCTTTAGAAATATACATATTGATGGAGAGATAGATACAATTATGGAATAGCATTATGTAAAAATACTTTGTCCCTAGTTGCTATTTGCATCAAATAGCTTCTATTTTGAGAGGTTGACTGAATAAACTTGGAGGGTTGTATGTGTGTGTGTGTGTATGCGTGCATGCATGTGTATGTGAGTTTTAGGTAGTAGAATTGAAAGATATAAGTCATAAGACCACTGTCAGGATTCAGACAGCAAGCTGTTTTCAAGGAAAGTCTGGCTAACAGAGATGATGGTACTGGGACAAGGTCATGATAGTGGAAGGAAAAGTCGTCAAAATTTGAAGTATATCTGTCCTTTCCAATGTACACAGCATCAGGGATAGATTGTTGTTATTTCTGCACTAAGGATTGAACTGAAGAACTCTCAAACACTCCATCACTAAAGCTGTATTCATAATCCTTCTGTTTCAAATTTGTGTCTTCAGATAAGGTCTTTACCTTTGCCTTATCAGGCCTAGTACCAAAATTCTCCTACGTCACCTTACACATAGATATAATTATGTACATATGCCACCACAACTGGTTTATTTTTTATTAATTTTAATTTTTATTGTCAAGGTGTTACAGTTACATAAGTAAGGTAGTGAATATATTTCTTGTTGAACTTGCTACTCCAGATCCCTCTTTTTTTTTAATAATGGGATCTCATTAACTTTTTGCCAAGGATGAAATTAAATTGTGGCCTACTTTCTCCATCCTAAGTAACTTGGATTGTAGGTGAATACTATGTCCATCTCACGGTACTCTGCACTTAGAGGTAAACCTTGCACATATCACTATTTTTATGACAACATAAGTAATTAAATAATCTGTATTCTGTTAAATAAGTAATTCTAAATCTGGAAGTCAACTCTTAAGAGCTTTTCATTGAGAGGGAATATCTGTAAAAAAGAAGAGTCTGTGACTTAAATTTGAAGTGCTGTCAGTTGTGTTGACTTGCAGGAAAAATTAATTTGCTGTGTAGGAAGTACTTAGTCTCATCTAAGTTCAGGAATAAAGTTAAATTTATTAGAAGTGTGCTATTCTCTTATTTCTTTCTTCCTCTATCCCCTTGACCTCATGTGCTTTCTACAATGTGTCGGCAAACAATTTATGCAGTGATTTTCTGCCTGGGGACAGGGCTTCTTCATTCACTACCACAATTCCTGTGAGCATAACATTAACTCAGAATGAAGGATAACATGTTAGACAAAGTATGTGAGAGCTGATGAGTCTCTATAAATCCTGCTTTATGAATCAGCACTTACACTACCTATGTGAAAAGTATATTAAATCCTTGCCTCACAAAAGTAGATGATTAAAACATTGATAGGAAGAGATCTTTCTTATTGTTTTATGATCGATAAGATCTGGGTCCTACAGTAAGTTGTAATAAAGTTTCTTCCTAAGAGATGAGATTTAACTATCTACTGCTTAGTATTTCCTTTGACTCACTTAAGGGGAAAGTATGTCACATTGCAAGTCAGAAAGAAATCAGAAAGGTTGAAGGACTAGTAATTAATCAAATTATGCCTTTTTATTTGCCCTAGGGTCCCATGATTCTTTCAGCTTCTACATTGATGAAGCCTCTCCAGTAGGTCCTGAGCAACCGGAAACTGTCCAGAATTTTGTCTCTGTATTTGGAACTGTAGCCAAGAAACTGATGCGGAAATGGTTGGCCACTCAAACAATGAACTTCACTGGTCAGCTAGGAGCCGGAATCCGATATTTTGATCTTCGGATTTCCACCAAGCCCAGAGACCCTGACAATGAACTTTATTTTGCTCATGGCTTGTTCAGTGCCAAAGTCAACGAAGGCCTGGAGGAGATCAATGCATTCCTCACAGATCACCGTAAAGAAGTCGTATTCTTGGACTTCAACCATTTTTATGGGATGCAGAAATATCACCATGAAAAACTGGTCCAAATGCTGAAAGACATCTATGGAAACAAAATGTGTCCGGCAATTTTTGCCCAGGAAGTGAGCTTAAAGTACCTGTGGGAGAAAGACTATCAAGTGCTGGTGTTTTATCACAGTCCAGTGGCTTTGGAAGTGCCCTTTCTCTGGCCTGGGCAGATGATGCCAGCACCCTGGGCAAACACCACAGACCCTGAAAAACTGATCCAGTTTCTTCAGGCATCCATCACTGAAAGAAGAAAGAAGGGTTCGTTTTTTATCTCTCAGGTGGTTCTGACCCCCAAAGCTAGCACGGTGGTCAAAGGTGTAGCCAGTGGCCTCAGAGAAACGATCACAGAAAGGTAAGTATGCCTAAACTGCGAGAGAAAGCTTCCACAACATAGCTCAAATCTGCCTGTGGAAAGGGCTTCTTCATTCCTAACACAATCCCGGTGAGCTAGTAAGTGATAGAGCTAACATTTAAAAACCTGCAAGTATTTGTTTCCTAAGGTCGCCACAATACAGTACTACAAACAAACTGGGTGCATTTGAGCAATAGAAATGTGCCATCTCACAGAAAGGGAGATCAAGGGCTTGGCTATCTGTGATTTCCCTCTAAAAACCTTGACAAGAATCCATTCTATGACTGTCTTTTAGGTTCTGGTGATGGCTTCAAATCCTTGGCTTGTAGATGCATCTTCTTACCTTCCTTATCTTCTTCTCATAGTGTTCTTGTGAATCTTTTTCTGTAAGAACAATTGTGACACTGGTTTAGGGCCTACACCAATGGCTACATCATAACCTCATTACGTTGGTACAGACCCTTTTCCTAAATAAGTTCACACAAAGACAAAAGTGTGCCTTAACATCACCAATTTAAATTAATGTCTAGCTGTCTTTTAAAAACTCCTTTTCACCGTTGTGTAGCTTTTTCCTCTATCACATGCAGTCTTTTTTTTTTACATACCTACTGCCATGTAATACATATCACAATCACAGGAAGTAGATATTGTCTTATGGATTAAAAAATAATAACCTTCAGATAAACAGGATACTTTGCTAAGTTCCATTCGACAGTGAATGTTTGAAATAGACATTCCCAGACTCCATTCCCAAGCCATATCATCGGCCGCATACATTATATAGACTGCTGTATTAGGAGGGGTTACTCTCTTCTTATCAAGTCCAGTCATCCATGATTGACTACCTTCAAGGTGTACATGAAGTCATCACCAAAGATCTCTATAGCTATTTTCTAAGAGCCTGATATATGCAGAATTATGCAGACAATTTATTCTCTTGAGTTCTATTTTCATATATGTATATGAAGTACTTTGACCATATTCATTTTCAGTCACTCTCTGTCTGCCTTTACCACCCCCTTCCTTCTGGTAGCCACTCTTCCTCAACAGCACCTGTTTCATATTTCTGACAATCACCATTTTAGTGTATATAAATTGTACAAAGTGATTTGGTCATGGTTTTTCATTTATTCATATATTTTAATCAGATTAATCCCTTTATTGCCCTATTCCTCATTCCTCCTAACTTCTATCTTTTCATTTTCTGGCATTTGATATACTTCTGTAGTTTGAAAGTCATATTTAAACTGTGTCTTAGCTATACATGGTCTAATATACTAGATCATGTAAGTTAGGTTTGTGGGGGGAAAATAAAATAAGTTAGGAAAGTGCTGAAAAGTGTGTTTTACAATTCTTCCAGAAAAGTTACAGTGTTTGTTTTTGCTTTGAGTTTTTTTCTTGGGGGGGGACAAAATGGGGGCATAGAAAGGGAAGGGGAAGAGTGAACAAGTATAATCATGCTATTTATTATACACTATGTAAGAGATGATCTATGCAACTTGTGGTCAGAGGTAGGAGTAGGAAACTGGTGTGAAGTAAAGGAAGTATGACATTGTCCAAGAAAATAAATGTACTCATTACCTAACTTATGAAATGGTGACACCTCTGTAATACATCTGAATAATAACAATACTTTAAAATATTTTTAAAAGTGTCACAATGCATATTAGCCTACAAAAGATGCCAGCGGACATTTTAGTGAAGAATCCCATTTAATCAATACAGTATTTTCCAAACTTTAAAAAAAATCATATAACACTTATTAACAGCCCATGGAATTAACTTTGAAGGACTGTCCTTAATCATCTGTTCTAATTCAAAACCTCTCACTTGCCTGAGGGCTCATATATCTAAAATAGTAGAGTTGTATCTTGGAAGAGTAGGACTGGAGGGGAATTTTGAGAGAAGAAAAAAAACCCTATACATAGAATCGACTTTTATCCCCTAGGATTATGCAAATTACTTACCAAAGGTTTGCACATATATCTGTGTGTTGCTATTATCCTTGTGCTATAAGCATCCTTCAGTGAAGAATGATTTGTCTCTCATACACTGACCTTAACTTTATCTCTCATACACTGCCCCACCCCTTGTCTCAGCCTCAAAGTATGAATGCTCTTTAAGGTAAAGATTACAAAAGCAAATCAAGTTGAAAAGTCAACACTGGCAGTTGCATTGACAACGGGGCCGAATAGGTTGAAAAAGCCAAAAGCTCATTGTTTTCATGGGTTGTGACTTCCAATTTGGAATGAGAAAGTCCTGAAGAAGCCATTGTGACAGTTGCATAACAATGCAACTATGCTTTGGGTCATTAAAGTGTGCATTTAAAATTGGTGAAAATAGTACACTTTGAGGGGTATATTTTATCACACTGAAAAATGAAACCATGAAACACTAAGATGCCTTTGCCATTCACATAGCTAGGCAGTGGTGTTAGTGTGTGTGTGTGTGTGTGTGTGTGCTCAGGTGTTTTGTTTTATTACTATTTTTTTAGACACATTTCAGTCTTCTGGATGAGGGCTTGCCTTGCGAAGACAATTTGCTTAGCTCTGAAAAAGAAAGGGAGGAATGCTTTACTCCATGGTATTTGTTCTTTTTCTTCGTACAAGGTTGGTCTGGTTATGTCACTGTCTTCTTGACCTTTGTACCAGAAACATCCATTGAAAAATCATAAAAAAAATCATATGCTGGCATTCAAAGGTGCAAAGAGCTATTCTATGTCACTGAAAACAGTCACCAGGCAATTATAAGAAATATCTGGGTCTGAAGTATTTTCATCTTTAAAATTAGGAGCTTGTTTCTCTAGGATTTTAAAAATCATTTCTAATATTTGGGTTAACAAAAATTCTGAGCATGTGCATTTAGAAAGTCCTGTTTGAAGTTCTGGGTGGCTTTCAGGAAAACTAAATTCAGGCTGGATTTAGGTATGGTAGCTTTCAATCTGGCCCTAGGTTCCAAATACTGCAGATGTGTTTTCTATATTTTACCAATGCCAAAAGATATAGATTTTTAGTTCTCAAAGGCCTATTTTTACTATATTTTTCAAACACCAGCTTTTACACCACACACCCACAAAATTCACACATCCTGAAAAAAGAAGGTATGCAGTTTGAGTCAAGTCTTTTACCAAGTCATGGATAGTTTATTAATTTACAGTCCTTTTTCCATTTTAAAAATATAGTCATGTCGCCTATAAGAATATTTAGGAAGTAAGGCATCTTTGCAAGTAAGTTAGTGATTCAAGTTAATTCTACAGGTCAACAGTCTTATAATGATAATGGCATTGTCAGAGTCTTCTTATTTTCTTATAAAATATTATTATTTAAATATTCACCAGTATTAAAACACTATCAGATGTTATACCAATTGCTTTATATATTGTTTTATTTAATATTCACACAATCTTCCAATTATAGTTGCTACTCTCATCCCATCTTAAAAGGTGAAGGAACAGATGCATTGATCCAAAAACTGTGGTACTTACACATGATGGAATTTTACATAGCTATTAGGAAGAATAATACAGTATTTTGTCACTTGCAAGGAAGTGGATGGACCTAGAATGAATCATGTTAAGTGAGGTAAGCCAAGCTCAGAGACACAAACGGTTCATGTTTTCTCTCATATGCAAAAGCTAAATCAATACGCGGGACATGATAAATTATATATGACTCCAGGCATTCACACACCGTAAGACCAAAAGAAGACACTCTTGGGAGAGAAACAGAAAGGTACAATGGCTCTGTGCCTCTGATCATATCAAATAATATTTACTGAAATGAATTCCAGGAAATGGAAACAATAGGTTTTCTTTTTCTTTTCTTTTTGTCTTGGTTGTTTATCTCTCTTTAGAAAGGGAAAGGGGAACAAAAGTGGAGGGATATAGGGGAAACAAATGCAGCAGTGGTACTAAGTAGTAACTATGTGGAAAAGGAACTATACAATTTGTGGATGGGGACGGGAAGGAAAAACTGGGAGGGAATGAAGGAAGGGGTGACATTGTCCCTTTAAACTCATTACCTGACTCATGAAACTATAACCCTGTTGTAAACCACCTTTTTAGTAACAAGTTTTTTTATTTTCTTTTATTTATTTATTTTTTATTGTGAAAATACTGTACAGAGGGGTTACAATTACATGGGCAAGATAATGAGTACATTTCTTATCAAGCATGGTAGCCTCCTCCTTTGTTTCCCCTTCCCATCCCTTCCCATCCTTCCCCTGCCCCCCTCCCACCAAAGTTGTAAAGTTCATTTTCGACATAAGGTGGAGGAGAATTTTCTTAGAAATGTTGGGCAACTTACTGGAGAACACAGTTAAAGTAAAGGTAGATTCCAGATCTCAACAAAGTTTCCACTATTTGCTTTGTAATTCCTACTTGAATTCATATGCTGTTCTAAACATTGTGCATATCGTGTGCATCCTTAGATTCAGAATCTTAAAGTGGTCACATCATGTTACCTCTTTATTTATAAGGCCTCAAAGAGGTCACTGGAACTTTGTTTTCACCCCTTTGAAAAGCAATATCTACATCAAATTCCTCCTTATATTCAAGTGGATTCAGAGGAATTGCTTAGTACTTTTTGAACAGTTCCCGTGAACAAGGTTCTGAATGAAGTACTGTGAGTTATTTTAACATTGGTAAGCTTCCATTGTGCCCATCAAGTATAAATTAAAGTTTGAAAAGACAAGAGCATACATGACCTAAATACCAAATAAGGGAAAATGAAAGAATTAAAGATCAAAGCCTGTGGTGATTAAGACAATAGAGATGCTTGGAAAGATTTGGATTGGCTTTGTGATAGGCAAAAATAGGCAGAGGTAGCTTCCCAGGTTGAATTAATAATAGGAAGGGCAGGGAGGTAGAGAATCTTGAAGACAAGAGAAGTTAGGGTTGGTTACCATGGAGTGATGCTTAAAAAAACACCATGGAAGATGGGCATAGAAAAAGTGAAAAGGCAGATTATGAAGTTAGAGGTGACTTAATTACAATATTGAAG